CTTTGCCTGTAAAAACCTACTTTTGACCACTTTCGTAATTATGAAATTACGTTTTCTTTGTGTCAGTAGTAGATGTTATATGGTGCTATATTGAATGTTATATACTATAAACTGTATACTGTTGCTAATCTGTATATTATCCTTTAACTGTTGCTTTGTTTCCATGTTCATATTTCATAGGTTGGGGAGTTTAAAGCACATGCTGCTGAATGGAAGGCAAATGTCCGAGCAGAGTTTCGTGAAACTCGACGGCGTCTGAGTGTTGAGATCCATGACAAGCTCCAGCGGGCAGCCACCATCCGTAGCATGGAGCGCCGTCAGCTTGGCCTAGAGCAGCGAGCTCACTCCCTTGACATGCTGTCACCAGAGAAACGGGCTTTGTTCGCCAGTCTGGATGCTAGCCGCTTCAAGACGTCCTCCCAAGAGAGCATCGACAGCAAACTGAACAACCTGAGGTTGAAGGGGGCATGCGAGCCGTACGATCATCAGGGAAACGAGCAAACGCAAGAGACCGCATCATCTTCAGAGGAAAATCTCTTCAACCTACGATTCGGATCCCTCAGTAAGCTGGCCAGGCGCAACAAGAACCGTGAACTGCGGAGGAACATACCTGAAGATGTTCGGCGGGCAAGTTTAAGCATAAACAATGGCAGCGCCATGCTCGGGGAGGAGGGAACGGAGGAAGAAGAAGATGGTGAGCCAGATGAGGAAAACAAAGAAAGAAAAGAGGGAAACACCAGTCTGACAAACCTCTCGCAGTACACAATGGAGCGCTCAAAGTTGAATGGGTTCACACCGGCACTGGCCAAAGACAGTGAGAATAATTAAGTATTGAATGCACAAACACTTCATCCAAATACAAGGAGTGTTGAGACAGGAAGAGTGAAAGATACTCAGACTGGGAGAGTGCACAGTCCTTTGAGATGTCAAGAAATGTGCCTTTCTGTTTCCTATGCTTAGATTGGAACTGCTCCCAAGAAGTCAGTCATCATGCCATAGCTATGGGAAGAAAATGTGTTGCCAAAAATGAATAAAACTAACGGTGCAGAAGAGGGTGCAGTAGAAATACCTCATTGAGATGTTGCTGTTAAATAGGCTACTTAAGAACTTTGATTTCTACAGGAGCAGTATTGAACAGCTCTGTTGATTTTTTTTTAGCCCTCAAGGCTCTTCTTCCATCTGTTCATGCTGAATCTTATTTTTTTAACAATGTGGGCAGGACCACTTGAGAGTTAGATTCATGCCATTCATTCAGTACTATTATTGATCTATGGGTTGTCATCTCATACTCTAGGGGTCTATTTTTAGCCCAGCAGCATGCTACAAAGTGACTTTAATATTTATCGAACAGAGGAAAGTAGGTTGTGTTTTTGCTGGATCAACAGGCCGTATTTACCTAGATGACATGTAGAACTATTGCTACATTATGTTTGGCTTTGAAAATGTAGCCTGATGCGAAAAACTACAATATGTTAACAGCTTGAAAAAACAATCTGAAGTGCATGGTACCAATCATAACCATTCATTGCTGGCATAAACTAACTGGAAAGCTTGAATTTGCAGCTATCATAATGAGCAAAATACACTTCTTTCATTACTAGTCTTCTCTCAACAGACAAACAATGTGTCTCTGTAATGATTGTTACCATTTTCTGAATTGTGAATCAACACAGACAAACATACACAAACACAGACTGTCGGTAATGTAAAACACAATTGCATTTTTTTAATGACATTCAAATGATCACAAACACGTTGAGAGTGTTTGGATGGATTTTTATTGATGAATGTGATGCTGTTAATTTGTATTTGCCAAGCATGTTTACATCTATGTTTACTTCTTTTTTTAAATCACCCAAGTTGTATTTTTCATTGAACTGTAAAATATACTGAACGTGTTTCTTTTTTGTATTGCTTTTTTAACAACACAACTCACAAAGCATCTTGACACTGCTATGTGTGGACGGGGGCATTTCTTAAAATTTTAGTCCATTTTCACTTGATTTGTATTTTGCAAACATTTACTGACACTCAAAAACAGCTTTAAATTTTACAGGATTAAATGTACCACTGTTGTACTTTGCATGCATTCCTTAAGGTGAACATTACACACACACACACACACACACACACACACACACACACACACACACACACACACACACACACACACACACACTGTTCCAGGACCAGCCTGCTTGTCTGATATGATAGCATTAACCTTTCCATGACCCTAACCTGTGACACACTGAGCGGCTGTTTGTTGTGTACAGTTTATTTTTGTCACATTAAATGTAGTGAGTGCCTTTTTAAAACAGAATAAATGAACAAAACATAAGAGGTATATTCATTATGTAAGTACTCACAGAAAATGAATGCAGTATCGACAAAATTTGGACTAAGATAAAGTAGAGCCTGACCAATTTATTAATGGGCCAGTATTATATACAATACATAATAGCATATTTTATTGCCTTTCAAAAAAAGGCAATAACAGATGAGAGAAACACCCTTCAACCATGTCGCAAGTGTTGACATTGCATAATTTGTCCACCAGAGGGCACACTGCAACTTCCTTTAGGACGAAGCAACGTGTTTGGAAGGTAACACCATGTGATCCGAGCAAAGCTGGGTGTAAGCAAGTAAATATGTTTATATA